GTATGGTATTTGGCAAAAGCATAGTGATAAAAGGAGTTATTTCAAAATAACTCATTGCCCAAATAACTTTAGTAAACTGTTGCCAAACGAGTTATTTGTAAAATTGTTCGAATTATCCTAAAAATTGAACGATTAAAGATTAGCTATCAAATTTAGTAAAATTATTGTGACTTCAATCATAACTTACTCGATAGCATATATCCTATACACTTAGCTTTACCCTCAATCAACAATATTAAGTTAGTATATGTTGTTGATTGTATACCCTAAACCATCAATACATTATACACTAACCACATAACCTATACCCTAATCATATGTCATTGAGTTGTGATTTTGCTAGTATAGTTAATTTAAAAGTGAAATTCATACTTTGATTTTGAAAACATAGATAAAAACTGATATTTGCTAATTGTTATACCCTAACCATATATCTTATACTTTACACCACATACCTTGTACCCTAACCACGTACCATAAACATAAATTAAAAAGGGATCTCCTGCCGTTATAGACTTCAAATGACTTCAAGTGAACATATGTTAATAAAAAAATTAGAACCGTCAAAACCATCAATATCTTATACCCTAACCATATACACCCTAAACCATATGTACCTTATACCTTATACCCTAACCATATACTTTATATCCTAAAGAACGAACCGTCAAAAATTACTTATCAAGTTTAGTATAAATTGTTGTAACTAATGGTTAATTTATTTATTAGCCCATAAAAAATTACATACATATATACATATTAGCCTTCAAAGCATATAAGAATAATTTTAACTAGTCATGCCCTCCATATAAAAGTTAAAGATTCATATTTCAAAAGCTAAAATTATGAAAAACCAAAAAATTGAAAACACCAAATTTGTTTCCTTCTTTCTTTTCACAAAAATACTAAAATTTCCCTCCTTCTTTCTCCTTCCATACATTAGAAAAACTCAATTTTCCCTCCTCTTTCTCTTCCATAAAATTGAAAGAACCAAATTACCCTCTTCTTTCTTTCTACAAAAAGTTGAAAAGTCAAAAGTTTCCCTCCTTATTTCTTTTTCATAATCAAAAGAATCAAACTTTTCCACTTCTTTCTCTTCCCACATATCAAAACCACCAAAATTCCCACTTGTTTCTTTTCTAAAAAATTCAAAGAACCAAATTTCCCTCTTGTTTCTCTTCCCAAAAACTTGAATACACCAAAATTTCCCTCTTCTTTTAAAAACATCAAATTACCAAATACCTTACTTTACTTTATTTATATTTATTGATAATTTTATTGAATAGTTAAATTAACCAAAATTTTAATTTATATATTATATTAATATTGTCATGATCTCAAGTGACCTTCATGTTTCAACTTTTGTAATTTTCTTAAAATACGTAATATCAAGTGAGTTTCATATTTTTAAAATTTCTTATACGAAATGAAAAAATAATTTTACTTAAGTTTAGAATGAAAAACTTTATTTTGAAAAACTATGTATTGTATATTTTTATAATTATTCAAGTGGATTAGATGAAATTCGGGTTGAGTCGGTCGGGTTACGGGTTAGTCGGGTTTGGGTCAATCGGGTTCGGGTTAATCGGGTTGCGGGTCAGTTGGGTTGTGGGTCAATCGGGTTCGGGTTAATCGGGTTGCGGGTTAGTCGGGTTGCGGGTTAGTTGGGTTGCGGGTCAATCAGGTTGCGGGTCGGGCGGGTTACGGGTTGTTGACTTTTAGTCAATTCGGGTTGCGGTCGGCTTGCGGGTCGGGTTGATCGGGCGGGTTAATCAGGTCGGGCTATGTTTTGACACCTATAGTGGCGATAAGGGCCCACTTTAGAAATTGTTTATTGATTGTCTAAGAGCATCTTCATCCTTGCAATTACTTAGCAATTTCATATATGGGTCACACTGCCATATCAACCACTTAAGCAATAGCTCTTTCAAGTCACCCACATCCTTGCAAGGTTTTAGCCATTTCTATTGTGGGGGCCACACATATATGTATGTATAAACAATTCTTCCATTATAAAAACTAAAATTTCTAAACTATAAAGATAAAATAGAAAAGGTAAATAAAATCCTATGTGGCATTGCAAGTGGAATTGCTTATTTAGCAAGATTGCTAAGTTAGCAATTGGTTCCACATCCTTGCAATTGAATTAGCAATTGCCAAACACATGCCACCTAAGTTTTAGCAATTGCATATGAAAGGGGATGGAGATGGTCTGACCATCTCCAACCCCAACTTTTAGCAATTGCTAATTAAAGATGAGGTGGAGCTTAGATGGCAAAAACTTAGCAATGGTTAAGGGAAGGCAAAAGCATTGCAGTAAGTGCAGTTCTACCAATCATAATGCAAGAACGTGTACATGGTCTGGGCCATCCAATGATGAAAATGACGATGACGAGCAACCTAGGGTAAGAATAAAATATAATCGTTCGTGTCTACACAATGCAGTTGCATCCAATATTTTTGTACGACTAAAATCGTCGTTATCGAATTTGCAAAAGAGGTCAGTTACCAGAAGTAGCATGTCTTTTGCATAGATCATTGTTGATTGCAGGAGTTCAGTTTACGATTTTTATATGTCATGATTGTTTTGTTTATGATGTAGTGCGTATGCTTATAATGAAGTTAGTATATCATATCTGTTTTCCCACCAGTTGTACATTTGGGCACAACTCTCTGAGAGTTTATCGCAATCGTTACTTATCTACTCTATGCATCTGCTTCTAATGAAGTTAGTATACTGGATCCGTTTCTAAGCAGTCACATTGTCAGATTTACTACAAGTGAAGACTCTGAAACAATATTATAACCACAGTTTCTAGATTTGACGTATTGGATTGATTGCTTTTGCTCTCTTTTGATCACATGTTCTTTGAGTACAAAGTTTATCAATGTTACTATACCCTTAATACTTATGTTTACAGTGGATGTGCTATCTCAGCAAGACAACGAAGGGCATTACAAACATCTGAAGAGTGAAGAGTTAGAAGCATTCACTTCCATTTCCCTTTCAGTTTTTTAGTTATACTACATTAAAAGGATTGAGCACGAACTTACATATCGGTTGATGATTTGCTTAAGTCATTCTAGCAGCTTTACCATGAATCTCTTATTGATTGCTTTGATTGAAAGCTCTCCAATGAATTCATACTGGAAATTTGTTTTCATTAAAACAACATTCAATTTCAACTATGTTTGAACGTTGAAAAGAAAGAGGGCTTGAAGTACTTAATTACAAGTAATTATTGAGATAGCATGCCTCAATTTTCACAATCTGTAAGTTTTTATGCAAGTTTATGGTATGCTTTTCCATTCTTCAGTTAAAGAAAACATTTCTGTTCACATCTCTTTTTCATCAAAGAGGTAAACACTCTTCTTGCTCATAGTGTCAAATTAGTGCTATGATTCAATGGTTTAATAAAATGGCCTTTTGAATGATATGTTCAAAGTTAATTGTGAAATTGACAAATTGTAGAACTTATTGCAGACTTTCGCAAGACCATTAGAAAGCTCTGTTCTCTTTCGTGCTATGTAGACTTATTTGTTAATTAAGTACATTCATTCTGCGTTGTTTTCCCCCAATTTATAGATCACTTTCCCCTAGATAAGGGGAAAACAGAGAGACGCAAAGATGATGATTCAAATTTCAAAGGTTCCCTTTTGGACGTGCTGCAATAGTTGATCTCCATGTACTATGTTGACCATTTTATGAACATATAACCGACCTCTTATGTTTTGTTATACTTCTAAAATTGTCCTCTTCTATATATGTTGCATTTGATATAATGAGTTCATGATAATTGTTTGTCAATGAAGACTGATACGTGAATTTATTCTTTATATAGTAACAGATAGCTGAGCCCGGCCATATTATTACTACTTATCCATCCCAAGTTAGAACCTTTCATGTGGGGTTAAGGCTACATGAAGCCCACATTAGACGTTTACCCTTAGCCGTTTCACTATTTTTTAAGTAGTGCAGTACTATTTCAGAATTAGCATTATCTATTGAAGATTAGTATATCTATCGTCCTACCTTATATGTTATTCTGTTAAAAATCCTTTTACATTATTTTATATATTCACTCTGTTAAACATCCATAATTTAGTTATCACTCTGTTTTTTATTTTATTTTCTTAATTCAATATGGTCAAATTAAATTATTTTATATATTCAACATGGTAAAAACTATCATGTCATGGAGTTTTTTTCCTTAACAAAATAAGATTTATTGACTACTTTTATCCTTCGTTAATGTTGCATCATAAATTCACATATTATCAATTCAAATTCACATATTTATTGACTAATTTTCTAGTTATATATAAAAATTTGTACAATAGTTTCTAAAAGCCGAAGTTACAATATACGTAATGAACAGAAATAAATTTAAACTAGTGGGATATAAATTTTATTCATTCGAATAATACAATAAATAGTATCCATAAAAGTTCTTTAAATCACGACAACCTTCTTCTGAAACCTAACATACATTTACTTGAACAACAATGTCCGACCACTTGAAGTGGATCGGAGAAATAAAGACCAATCATTCCTACTCTGACGAAATCCGATATGAATTTGTGATAGTACCATGAAATTTATCAACCAAAGCTCGACGAGCTTATTTGAGACCGTAGATTCAGGGTCGAAGTTTACAGACCATATAAGGATGGCATTTCTCAACCCAAGCTCGATAATGCCTAAACTAGGACGAAACTTCAAACGAACGTAAATTTGTGCTCGGTTATCCGATCATAGTGAATTTTTTTTCTAATCCCGAATAAAGTTTTGAGATCTTGTAAGCCGCAAATGGCCATAGGCAGTTTGGTATTGCATTCATCCCAAAAAACGTCATTTTCTACCCCAAACGAGCAAGTTTTCGATTTTGCCAAACTTTGAACGGGAATAACTTTGGGCTACACAATCCGAACGTAATGAAATTCGATCCGATTTGACAACATACAAAAACTTTAGGAGGTCTTGGCCGGATTGTACGTCACAACACGGGAAAATTTTATTTCAAGCATAGACAATACTTAGGAAAGAAATACATGGATTGCACGACACAACATCGGACCCAGTCCGATGTCATGACCGTTGACTCATCCTGACTGCAATACACAAACTCCCAACTAGGTCCCAAGTATAAACCCTAGCCGGGTGCAGTATAGAGTAAGTATTTAAATGTCAAACCCAGGCCGGTCCATGTACCCTTACTTCAATTGTTTGCAACATTATCTAGGAATAGATTTTTGGCTCGACTATGGTTTACCACTAATGCAATTGAAAAAGTAAATGGTTTTGAACACGAATTGAGATGGCTTCATCCGGGTGTCGTTCCCCCTAGCTAGCTATCAAAGCCAGATAAATGTAGGTGCATGGTGAAGGCGGTTGCCAACCATAGGAAAGCGCAACAAGTGAAATGGCTTCACTCTCTTGATCAATAAGGAAAGGGACATCAATCAAGCTACCAAGGTAACTCTCTTTGTCTATCGTCTTAGGGTTCCCAAGGGTTCTCCCTCGAACCTTAGTTCGAACGGTTAAACTACAACTAACAGAAGGTGCTAAAACATGGGAAGAGGTAGGTGGCTTAATCTGGCCAAAGAAACCCAGCTTTTGAAAGCTTCTTAGCAAGAAGGGGGTTTCCCTCTACCTAGGTGAAATTGGCAAAGTAGTTGGAAGAGGAAAACACAACCCAACATTCATGAATATACCTCAATACTTGCATTAAAACACAACCATACACAAATCGTTCAATTCATACAAGCATTCACATGATTATAGCTAGGATTCACAAACACTCAAGTGAAATAAAGGACTACCTCATGCTAATTAAGTAGAAGGAATACACAAAGGAAAGGAGAGAAACCCATCTTGGTGGTGTTAATAAGCCTTCTTCCTTTTGTGTGGAGATCAACATTGAAGGTAGAAATTTCCAAAACCTTAAGCTTGGTTGAAACCTTAACCTCCTTCTTTTTCCTTGCTCGTCACATTCTCTCTCTAAAAATCTTGAAGAAGAAGAATTTCTCTCACTAGGCTCTCCGGTATGATTTTTATCACACTAAAAATAACTAGTAGGCCCTCGAGCTTGCACCACACAACACGTAACACTTTATTTCATACGTAGACAATAGGGAGGAAAGGAATACAGGGAATTGAACGAAATGAAACTCTATCATATTTCACACATCTCCAAGATACAAAAGAATCGCTAAACTTAATACACCATGTGGAAGTGGATAGTCAAATATCAATGCAACCTGCAAAGTCATCATAAAAAAAACCTCCACAACAGTCAGGTGACCACTGGTGTGAAAGAAAAGTCTCACATAATGGATTTCTTTAAGATAACGCGGTATCCATTGTAAAACATCGAAATGTGTCGTACATGCAATCCTCATATATTGACTAACAATTTGCGCAACATACACTATATTAGGTTTGTTAAGCCAATGTATCAAAAGCTTCCCACTACCGTAGGATAGTGCATTTGATTATCCAACATATGACCACTTGCTCGGCTAAGCTTCAAATTCTTCTCCATTGAGTTTGCACACAGTATACATTGCTCTAACATCTGGTCTGCAAGAAAATCACGGATGTACTTTCATTGACATAACAATATGCCATTATCTGAGCATAGAATCTCCAGACCGAGGAAGTATGAGAGATTGCCAAGTTCTTTCACCTGAAAAGCTCGATGCGATATGACAGATCTAGAAGAAAATGTATTTTTAGAGATTGAGTGTATTTGCCATGATAAATGATTTATGTGTCGCGATAGCCATATAGTGACACATATAGGTATGTTGTCAATATTGTGCCTGTAAATCCCTTTACCGGAAGATGTTAATAGCAAATATTATATGCCACTGCTAGAAGAGTTCGAGACAAATATTTTAGTTGCTAATTTCCTTTGTTGGATTAATTTATTGCCTTGTTTTTCCACTACAGAGACAAAAATGTTTGTCTATAATACTTCTTTTAATGATAGATATTTTTGTTTGCAATATTAGATTTTGAGTACTATTATATTAGCCATTAAAAATATTTCTTAATTCACTAATATTTGTCACTAACGATGATATTGACGCAAAAATATCTTTACAGAACAAATAGGAGGGATTGGCCGGAGCTTGCACGACACAACACGGGAAAACTTTATTTCAATAATAGACAATTAATACTCAGAAAAGACACACAGGGAGTCGAACGAAATGAAACACATAGCGAAATTAAACAACATCGATACAATAAGATAAAAAAACCCAACACAATACGAAACAAAAAAGACGGTCTACAACACAAGAGGATCGATGGAGTAGACCGTCTTATTATAGTAGGAGGGGAACGAAGGAAGAGCAAGGCAACATCATTATCCATCGATGGCCTGGTCGACAATGAAAGGCAGTCTTGTTCATCAGCGATTGCCACGTCCCCTCCTGAGGTCGAAAAGTAACATGTATTTAGTTATAGACAAAATACAACTGTATATCAAGTTTGTGACAAATATATCCACAACTATCGAAATACACGAAATATCCATTTCTGTCCACTCTGTTAATTCCGTTAGTTAACTTGATGACTGGATAGACGGTGGATGCTTCGTTGGCGTGTTTGTGACCCCACTAAATGACGTGGATTAAAAGAAAAAAAAATTTAGGCAAAATATAGTTGTATATCCACAACTATGAGGTTTGTGACAAATATATCCACAATTATCGAAATACACGAAATATCCAAAAATCAGAAGGTTGTGTGACAAATCTATCCACTTTCTTCTGAAACTATAACGGTGTGTCAGATGACGTTAAATTGACTAACGGAATGCTGAATCGATGTCATCTCACCTGCCACATAAGCCAAAAAGCAACCAAACTTTACACTGTTGTCTGTTAGACCTCGTTTCTGCTGCAGTCTTCTCTGTTGGCGATTTGGTTAGATTCAAGCTTTTTTTGTTTGAGATTCAAGCTTGGTACTACCATGGCGCCGACTTCATGGAAGCCGTCGGAGTAAAAGGGAGGCAATGGTTCGGGATTGTGGTTGGAATCAAAATCTGGGCTTGGGTTATTTGGGGGTGGAGGTGTCGATCGGAGTAGGATCTGTGGTTATCGGGCGAGTTTCTGGGTTGGATTTTTAGTCTCGTCGTCTATGGTTTTCAGGATTTTTAAATTCTTTTTTCTCTTTTAATGCACGTCATTCAGTAGGGTCAGAAACACGCCAACTAAGCATCCACCGTCTGTCAAGTCATCAAGTTAACTGACGGAGTTAACGGAGTGGACGAAAAAGGATATTTCGTGTATTTTGATAGTTGTGGATATATTTGTCACAAACTTTATAGTGGTGGATATATTTGTCACAAACCTGATAGTTGTGGATATACAGCTGTATTTTGCCTTTATTCAACTAGCCTATTTGGCATCCACGTGTAAAGTTTGGTTGCTTTTTGGCTTATGTGTAAGGTGAGACGGCATCGATTCAACATTCTGTTAGTCAATTAAACGCCGTCTGACACGCCGTTATAGTTTCAGATGGAAGTGGATAGATTTGTCACACAACCTTCCGATTTTTGGATATTTCATGTATTTCGATAGTTGTGGATATATTTGTCACAAACCTGATAGTTATGGATATACAACTGTATTTTGCCTTAGTTATATGTATATTAATCAGTTAATATGAATTTGTATGTATGAAAGTCCACTGTTCACGAAAGAAAAAAATAAATTCTATAAATTCCCAACTATCTTAGCAAATTGATCCAAACGTGGGTTAGCTTCTCTAAGATAAATAATAATGTTTAGCGACCTCCGAATATAAAATGACTTTAAAGTCGGTCAATGAAAAGACTCCAAATGCCTTGTTTACCTTTTTAAATATATTGCAACATTCCATTATTTGGGTAAGTACATAAAGTTGTTAAAGACAGGAAAAATTGAATAAAGAGAGTTGGTAATGACTAAAAAAGGGATGATAACCCCTATCGTGGGTGATATGCTTTTTTTTTATATAAATAATGCTTGTATGCTTTTTATTTAATCATGTGGTGCAATAGCATTACAGTCCTTCAACAATTGAGGTAAAAGAAAAATTGGTGGCCGGTCAAACCAGACCTCGGTTTCTTCCCATCTACAATTGACTCGGGCCATTTGGTGGGCAGATTCATTTCCTTCCCTGCCCAAAAACCGCCACTGAATCTCCTTGCCCTGAGCTCTCTCCCTTATCTCTTCACACAGTGTCCCTATTTCCAAATTAATCTCATCCTTCCCCTGCAATTTGTAGATCAAACTTAGGCAATCCATTTCCATCATTGCTGGATACAATTGGTGCTGTTGTATGAGTTTCAATCCCCACAACAAAGCCTCCGCTTCCGCTATCTCAGGCTGCCAGGTGACCCGAGTCCTTCGAACAGCTGCCATCACAAATTTCCCCTCCTTATCGCGAACCACCATCCCGACTCCAGTTCCCCCATTTTTCAGCACACTGGCATCAACATTCGCCTTGTATCCCATCGGCGGCTTTTCCCATTTGTAGCTTCGATTCGACCTCGCCGGCTGCAGATCCCGATCTTGAGCTCGTGGGTGATATGCTTAATTGTGCTAAAATACCTAAAATTCAATATCATTCATTCGGTAAAAAAAGAGAGATAACATTATTATTTCTTCCATATGAAAAGTTTGTTACAATAATCAGTATCGTAATCCATAATCTCTAGGGCCTCATTAATGAATTTTTTTTATGTTGGTAATAACTCTGATTGCTCGCTGTTAAAGAAATCTTGTGTAATAGCTCTGGTTATCTTGAACTCCTCTTCTCTGTGGCTAATTAATTGGGTCCGTCACTACCAACTGACATTTACCTCGATATGAGATATCTCCTCAACAATCAACTGCTCTTGAGCTTGGAGAAAAGTGTTAAAAACCAGAAGTCTGGCTGCAACTAATTTTCAGGTTAGATCTGATGGTGTATACTGGAATGGTAAAATCATGGAGAAGTTTTATGTGACAATAGTTTGGGAGGTCATTCGACAGAAGAGTAGGAAGGTGAATTGGAGTAAATTGGTTTGGAAGTCTCTTTGTACACCAGAGGACAGGTAATTGTATGGATATTCATACGCAACAGGATAGCCACTCTCGATCCGGCTTTGACAACATACAAAACAATTAGGAGGTGTTTTTCGGCGAGAAAATTTGTGTTGAAATCAAATTGATTGCCCCTTGAATTCTTGAACAACGATTAACTTTACACGGTTGACACCTCCTTAAACAAAGTTCGAACGAGGGTGTTCGATGTTTACACGACTCAAGTGACAGATCTACATTAAATTACTCCTAATCCTATGGAGGTTCAGTGAGAGCTCCAGATCTACTACTACTACCGCTAAAATTGCAAAGAAAATGATAAAATTTGACATTGGGTTGTCTGGTGTGAATTTGGCGAACCCCTTCTCTGTCAACTCCTCCTCTTATATATAGCTTTCAAGTGGTAACCGTCGTAGAAAAACCGTCGGAATGTAACTTCCAAAAAGAACTGCTCCCCTTCTTCCTCAGACATGGTTGACGTGTCCTTAAACTTGGCATAATCGGTAGTTGCCCTATTAACCGCCTGCCTTCTCTCTTGTAACTGATGTCTTGTTACTTGCCACCCCTTTTACCATGGCCATTCCATATCTCAAGACTAGGGCCTTCAACATCTCACGACTGACATGGTGTTTAGATCTCGCAATGTGGTCTATGTGTACCGAAACCTAACATACATTTACTGAAACAACCATGTCCGACCACTTGAAGTGGATCGAAGAAATAAAGACAAATCACTCCTACTCTGACGAAATCTGATATGAAATAATGAAAGTACCACGAAACTTCTCAACCAAAGCTCGACGAGCATATTGGAGACCATAGAATGGGTGTCGAAGTTTACAGACCATATAAGGATAGCATTTCTCAACCCAAGCTCGACAATGCCTAAACTAGGACAAAATTTAAAAGGATCTTAGACAATAGTACTCAAGAAAGAAATACATGGAATGAATCCAAACGAAACACATAGGGAAACAAGAACAATCAATCAAATCTAGACCAACACAATGGGAAACAAAAGATGCGCGGTCTACACAATCCGAACGTAATGAAATTCGAATACGGTTTTGACAACATACGGAACAATTAGGAGGGAATGGCCGGAGCTTGCACGACACGACACAACACAACACGGGAAAACTTTATTTCAAGCATGGACAATTAAAACTCAGGAAAGAAACACAGGGAATCGAACGAAATGAAAGACATACAGAAATTAAACAACATGGATACAATAAGATAAAAAAAAAACCAACACAATACGAAACAAAAGACGGTCTACAACACAAGAGGATCAATGGAGTAGACCGTCTTATTATAGTAGGAGGGGAACGATATGGAAGAGCAAGGCAACAACATTATCCATCGATGGCCTGGTCGACAATGAAAGGCAGTCTTGTTCATCGGCGATTGCCACGTCCCCTCCTGAGGTAGTCGTCCAAATCCTGAAACGCAGTCTGCATCACATTCTTGAGGTTGTTAATGTCGGCGTTGCCCTTAGCACTGTCGTAGGTGAAGGACCAAGTAAGTGTGCAGCCTGTGGCCCTAAGGTTGGTGCGGGACGAAGGCACCACGGCCGTGGTGATGTCAACGCTGTCGAAGAGCTGCGGCACGAATGCGCCGTCGTCATTCATCGTCGTCTTCACCGTCATGTTGGAATGGTCAACTTCAACGATCTCTTCCCTCGCCGATCTCACTACCCTGCTGTAAGCTGCATGGGGCCGGCGATTACGCACACCAAATTAATTAACGAAGCAAACAAAAGATGACGAGCCAGAGATATATAATAACTGAACTTGTCTCAGCCGATCACCCCGACTCGTGGAGTTCGTCAGGGAGACCCTCTTTCCCCTTACCTCTTTGTTCTTTGTATGGAAAGATTATCTCACAGGATCGATGAGGCGGTTAATAGTGGGCAATGGAAGCCGATACGGTTAACTAATGCCGGGCCGCCACTGACCCATCTGTTTTTTGCAGATGATCTTTTATTGTTTGCAGAGGCTGAAAGGAGGCAAATCCGGGTCATCAAGCAGTGCCTGGCGGATTTCTGCTACAGCTCGGGTCAAAGGATCAATTTCAGCAAGTCTATTCTTTATGTTTCCCCGAACGTTGCTAGACATAAAGCCGAGAACTTGAGTTCCTGTGCGGGGATTCCTTTGAAAGCTGCTTTGGGGAGATATCTCGGTATTCAGGCAATTCAAGAAAGAGTCACCAGAGGGAGATACCAGTCTCTTATCCTGCGCATTCAAAGAAAGATGGCACCCTGGAAAGCGAAACGGTTATCCTTTGCGGCTAGACTCACTGTCGCTAAGTCGGTAACCGCTTCTTTGCCTGTCTATACGATGCACACTGAATTGATTCCTAGTGGTGTGTGCAGGAACATTGATAAGATCACTAGGGACTTCGTCTGGGGAGCTGAGGAGAATCGCTCCAAATTGCACCTGGTTGCTTGGGAGAGGTTGACTCTGGCGAAGGACCAAGGTGGGGTGGGCCTGCGTCCAACTCGCCAGGCTAACTTGGCTATGTTGGCTAAGAGTGGCTGGCGTCTTCTTCAGGAGAAAGATAACCTTTGGCGGCAACTCCTTCTCTCGAAGTACGGAGGCCAAAGGACAGGGCTCGATGTTCTGCGGAAAAAACAGGGAAGTTCCTTCACCTGGAGCAGCTTCTCCAAAGCTGCGGATCTCCTTAAGCAAGGCTGTGCGTGGAATATTAAAAATGGAAGAAAGACTAAATTCTGGTGTGACCCGTGGATTTTGCAGGTACCCTTGAAGGAGGTCATGACAGGAGACTTGCCAGGCGAGGCCGATGAGGCGGTGGTAGCGGATTTTGTTCGGGATGATGGGAGTTGGCGCACGGAGCTGATCTCTAGTCTGCTTCCACCGGACATCTGCGCCAAGATCACTAGCACGGCCGTGGATAAAATTTCTCAAGAGGAGGACGCGTTGTTCTGGTCTCCGTCTGCAGATGGCCGCTTCACCACCAAATCTGCGTATGGACTTCTTATGCCGCAGGAACAGCAACCTCGGGAAGGAATTTGGAAGAAGATCTGGCGCCTAGAGGTCCCAGAGCGGATCAGAGGGTTCGTTTGGCTAGCTATTCAGGGAAGGATAGCGTCTAATGCTCTTCGGTTTCAGAGGAAGGTGGCGGAGACGCCTTGCTGCCCGCGGTGCGAAGGTTGTACGGAAACAGCTCTCCATATTATGCGTGATTGCCCTCCTGCTTTATATTTTTGGTCCAGACAGGTACCTCAGGGGAAGCAGCAGGTTTTCTTCAGTGCCAACCATGATGAGTGGTTTCGCAGTAATTTATTGAGTACGGAGAGCACCATTTCGGGGATTAATTGGCCAGGTTTCTTTAGTATATCTATCTGGCTCCTTTGGAAGAACCGCACTACCGCTGCGTTCAAAGGCTTAGGGGCGGCTCTTACTGCTCCTTCTCTTATGCAGTCCATTATAACCAAGAGTAGAATTTGGAATGAGTCGTGGCAGGCACCGGAGCTGTTCCTCAGTCATAAAAAGCAGAAGGCAGATCGGGTTGTGGCAGCAGTGGGGTGGACACCGCCAGCAGAAGGTTGGGTGATGGTTAACACGGACGGGGCCTCAAACGGGAACCCGGGTCCGGCCGGAGCGGGCGGTGTCGTCCGGGATTCTTTGGGTCACTGGTTGGGAGGGTTCGTCGCCAACATCGGGAGTGCTACTGCCGCCTTAGCGGAGCTCTGGGCCATCTTCTATGGGTTAGAGCTGGTTTGGAAACTTGGTTTTCGGGTGGTGAAGATTGCCACCGACTCGCAGCTTGCTATTCAGTTGATTCAGGAGCGACATGATCCTATTCATCCTTATGCCACCTTGTTGAGTCTCATTCGGAGAAAGATGGGCCAAGACTGGTTGGTTAGCCTGACTCATACATACCGAGAAGGGAATAGAGTCGCGGACTGGCTCTCGAAGCACAGTCTCGTCTATCCCTACGGTCTGCATGAGTTGGCTGATCCTCCTATGAGCTTGGTTGCGATTCTGCAGGATGATACGAGAGGAACTACTTTTGATCGCAGTATAGTGGCTAATCATCCCCCTCCTTCTTAATCTGCCCCTGTAATCTTCTTTTCTTTGGCCTCGGCCTCCCCTTGATGCAAAAAAAAAAAAAAAAAAACTGAACTTGTGAAGATAATTAATTAATGAAGGCTTAATTACCAGGACCGAAAGTGATGTCGCGGATCGAGCCTTCGGTGAAGCCGTCGCGCCTGTTGCGCTTGATGTCGGCGTAGAGGTTTGGCATAGCCATCGGGAAAACAGCTTGGGCCGCGGTGACGGCGCTCCAAACGTCGCTGGCGGAGGAGAACATCCTAAATGTCACAGTCTCGGTAACTATAGGCATTTTTTTCTTCCTTCAATTTCCAGGCAAAAAGCAACAGATCGATGTAAGGGTAGAGGGAAGTTAATTAATTAAGTTGATGTATTGGATCAGCTCTGGGATGAACATTTCGTGTTTCATACCAGGGGTATATATAGTGCTTGCTTCACTTCCACCTTCCTTCCACTTTCTTTTTCCATCCCAACTATACATCCTTAATTATTGCTTCAATTCCAGCTAATTATTCATTAATTAATCGGCTAAAGAGAAGTTTCTAATTAAGTTTCCCAAAAACTTTATCGTTTACGCTGTTCGACCGGAAAATCGCAATAGATGATCGTGAATGCATGTATACCATATTCTGTAAACAATTAGTAATTAAGACATCTTTTATCTGAATTATGAATTAAAAAAATTGACGTATAATATTATACATTAATCTTTGATCGATACCCCGGCCTCTTGCCTAATTCTCTAAATCTAAATACAAATATCAATACAATAAAAAATAATAATCAACGATTATAATTTGCTGAATTACAACAAATTGTACATTCAATCATCAAATCATTTGGACTATGTTTTATTCAAAGAATACTTCGATAATTACCGTATATGTATTTGTATATATAAAAGTCCACTGTCCACAAAAGATAAAAATAACTTCTATTAGTTCTCAACTGTTTTAGCAAGTTGACCCCAACGTGGGTAGCTTCACTAAAATAATGTTGGAGACCTCCAAATTTAAAATGTCTTTTTAAGTAAATTTATGGAAAAAATAAATGAAAAGACTCAAGTTCCTTGTGTACTCTTTTGAAGTCAATTCCACCACCTCATTATTTTGGGTAACATAAGCATAGAAATTTGTTAAAAAAGAGGGCTAATTCAATAAAGAAAGTTGTTGAAAATCGATTAGTCGAATCGAATCAGATCAACGATTGGGCCAGTAGAACAACTAAATTAATACATTGACGTTTCGGTTCATTTCAATGAACGGTTAGCGAGGGACCCAACTAAACTAATTTGAATATTTTGTTAGAACTGTTTTTGTGATATAATTATTAGTATAGGTAATCCATGAGTTAGTGCCAAACGTTGACTCTATTATTTTCTCCATGTAAAAAAAAGTCGTTGTAATAATTATGAGTATAGGTAATCCATGATGTCGTCATGTTAATTGCCAAAGATGGCGTCACCATATCGCCGCTGCCTCCATTGACGGACCTAATTAATTGTTTTTTTAGTACTTGGGCTTAATATATATATCTGTTCTATTAGCATTTATGTATAGTTTCTATTTTGCAGTACAATCATTTTTACATTTTGATATTTTGTATATTCGGATGTAGCAAAAGGGACTTAGAGTCCTATATATTCGAGAGCAAAACGGATGGGTACAAAAGAAGGGGAAAAAAAAACATTTATTATTTGCAATATACTTATTTGGGTGCGGATAGTATAACAACACCCTTGGGCAACTAAATTCATCATTGCCCTTTGGACGATATGGAAGAACCGTAATGATGGAGCTTTCAGCGGAGGCAGCAAATCACTCTCCCCTCCCTCCCTCTTGCACGCAATCCGCCTGAAGACTAAGCTGTGGTACTCAGCTTGGACTGCCCCATCACCTCTGCTATTGAGGAATCTGCAGAAGCCAAACATGTCAGTGGTTATATTGGTTGGTCGGCGCCTTCTGCTGGTTGGTATAAGTTGAATGTGGATAGAGCTTTTCAAGGAAACCCAGGCAAGGCTGGCCCCGGAGGAGTGATTCGAGATGATCAAATACGGTGGATTGGTGGCTTTTGCTACAACATTGGTATTTGTACAGCTGCTCATGCGGAGCTTTGGGCACTGAAGCAAGGCCTCGAGCTGGCTTGGCGCAAGGGGCTTCGGCTCGTTATTGCATAAACGATTCCCAACTCGCGATCGACCTCATCCAGAAGAGGTCCGATCAGGCGCACCCCTTTTGCCTCGCTTCTCAACACGATTCGAAGACTTTTGGCGCAGGAATGGCTGGTTAACCTATTGCATACATATCGGGAAGGAAATAGAGTCGTGGACTGGCTTTCGAAGCACAGTCTCGTCTATCCCTACGATATGCATGAACTAGAGAACCCTCCAGACCAACGTGGGTAGCTTCACTAAAATAATGTTGGAGAGGCCTGTGTTCCTGTGCTTAAGCCCATAAGTTTAAGCATATGCTTAAACTAATTCTATTGGCTATTAGAAGATTAGGTGGTTGGTGAGGAGTTAGTAGTTAATATACGGTTAAGGGTATTGAGGTAAATAGCATAAATTAATTATTTGACTTTTAACTTAATCTCTTAATTAATATAGAACTTTTCGTTTATCCTAATTAAACACAAAAGGCCGCCAGTAGGGTTTGTATTTTCGGCGACCTTCACCCTTCTCCTCCCAGCAACCTTCCTCGCTAGCCCCGTCCATCATCTCCCGCTTTGTAAATCGTCTCCTTCGCCTTTGTGCCGGTGCGCCCTCTTCCTTTGTGCTGGTGATGGTTATCTCCTCCGGCGGCGGCTCCCCACACTTATTCTGCTCCCTGCCATCTCCGCCCGATGAGCAACGACAACGCCACCCCTTCCTCCAGTTTCGCTGCAGCCAATGGATCTGCCGATTCTACTGCTCCTAAGTGCAATTCCAAGCTCGGTGATTAGTTATGAAAATGGGTCGCTGAAATAACTGCGGGTGCTGCTAGTGTCATGGTTTGCTAGAGCAATTTCCCCATCCTGAATTAGGCAAAAATATGGGTCGGGTGTTTGTTTAATAGGATAAAAAAGTAGCTCTTGTTCGTTTCTTTTGAAGTTTTGATTGAAAATGATTATTGAAAAGATTATTAATAATTTTGTGTTGGTTTTCAAGAAATCCAGTTTGCTAATTAACGATTTGTTCATTTGAATTCTATCATTGAAAACTTGTAGCATCATTAAAGATTTTTTTTTTGTGTTATTGCATTGTTGTAGTGATTATCAACCTTTCGTAGCTGATTGTTAACACGTTACATTGATAACAATTTGACTAGGAGTCAAGCATTGTTAACGTTTTTTTATTTACTTTTGAACGATTTACAACAAAGTTGTTAACGTTTTTTTATATAGTTATAGTTAATGACTTATGTTATCAGTATCATATTTTATATCATTATTAATGGGTAGGTATGAGCGTATCAATGCTTAATAAACAATTATTAATAATATATAGTACAATTAGGGCTGTTAATGAACCAAGCCGCTCATGAACGGCTTGGTGTGCGATTCGAGAAAAACTCGTTTGATACTCGATTCGTTTTAATCGAGCCGGCTCGCGAACAAGCTCGTTAACTAAACGAGCCGAACTTGAGCCATACCATGTTCAGCTCGAAAGCTCGCGAACAAGCTCATTTAATGGTTTGACATAAAAAAAGAATTAGAATTCATTGATTTTTATGTATTGAAATTGTGATAAATATTGTGTTTTACTTTGCTACAGATTTGAATGTAATTTTGTCCGTAGTTCTAGGTCAATCTTGAGCTATCATGAACATTTGATTAGTTGAACTTGATTTTGAGCTCGTTAAGCTTATTTGACGAGCCGAGCTCGAGCTTTCATTTTCATAAACGAGCCGAGCTCGAGCTTGCATATTAAAGCTCGTGACGAACACGAGCCGAGCTCGAACCTGAAAATATATTAACGAGCCGAGCCCAAACTATGACAAAGCTCGGCTCGACTCGGCTCATTAACAGCCCTAAGTACAATAGACGGTCATTAGATTCAATCATTATCAATGATTTTGTTTGTATTGTAAACAAAACACAACTTATGTATTAATACTTTTTATATCGTTATCAACATTTTGAGAAGAGAGTTGTTAATAACATGTAATATGTCTATTACTCATTTAGATGCAATCATTATCAATGATTTTGCTTGTATCTGCAATGCCAACACAACTTAGTTATTAATGATTAAGCGTGTCATTATCAATGTTTCGATGTACTAAAGCATTTATAATTATATTGAAATCGTTAATAATGATGGGTATATCAATAATAATTCATTTCATGAATATTAATAATGTAATTGGAAGTCACTAGAAAAGACCATAATTGGGTAGTTATGAACATGACGTGAAAATGTGAATCGTTAATGGACGTAGATCAATGATAGTGTTATTCAAATCATTAATGATGATGTTGAATAACTTTAGTAATTCATTCATAAGTGTTGATGACGAAAATGTAAATTGTTAACAAAGGATCTAAAATCGTTAGTACTATAAATTTAAAGCATTGGTTTGTTTTTTGAAATCATTAATAACGATGAAATATATTATTAACCATTAAACATTGATAATATTATTTAAAATGTTAATAACGTCATTGCAAGTTGTTGCAGAGAGAGTGAATCATTCTTATTAATTTCCATTTTTAAAATATTGAATTTAAAATTTCATTAAATATTAGATGATCATATTTAATTAAATATTTCCATTTTTCATTTAATGTCGAGTTAAGGAGAGAGGGACCAATTATTTCAATTATTAATGACATTAATTATTTTTTCATAATATCCCATTTACCCTTAACAACCTACTAACTACTAACTTTCCATAAACTAACTAAACTCTTATCAATCAATAGGAATGCTTTAAGCATTTGCTTAAGTTTCTAGACTTAAGCACGGCATCTGATCCATGTTGGAGACCTCCAAATTTAAAATGACTTTTTAAGTAAACTAGCTTTTTACCCGGCCCGTTGGCCGGAGAGATTTATTTTATAATTTATATGTTTAAATCATTTTGGATCTTCTAAATATTTTGTAACAGAGTTTGTAGTATATCTATATTAAAATTTTCAATATTTAGCACACTCACTTGTGATGCTTCGGTTTTCGAATCATAAATTATGTCGCTGTCACGTCCCATTTAGAACTTATGTACAAAATTTGTCAACCAAAACACTAATATTTAGCGTACGCCAACCTAAACCACACACACATATATAGTTCAAGCTAGCGTGCGCCAGGAATACGTTATACTCTTGCGTTCATACTACCATACGACCATTGAGTTTTACTATTTAGACCCGAATTAACCGGATTTTTTTGGGGCATTATACTATATTCTAACCCCTAATAGGTAAACTCTAGTCCCTAATTCTGTAACCTCTAATTTATGCACATACTTCGTAATACCTATCTTCTATCGTACCTTGAGTTAAATAAAAAGTATAGTATACCTTGATATTACATATACATGTATATTAGACTTAAAATTATATAGAGATCTCGCTTTTACCCCCATAACGCCAGAGAACCATTGGGGTTGTCTATTGTTCGATATATAATATATAAAGAGGCAAATACTAAGATCCTACTACTTATTTCTTATCCTCTCCCGCCGACCCCTTTATGGAGAATAAAAAGGTAGGGATGACAGGATCATAGCTCGATATGGTTTTATTATGTTCATCTTATCGGAGGTTATGTTCTTTTTTGCTTTTTTTGGCTTCTTTTTCATTCTACTTTAGCACCTATGGTTGTGATCAGAGGTACTTAGCCCTCGAAAAGGATTGAGATTTTAGGTCCTTTGGAAATCCAATACACATTCATGATCCTCGAGTTTGGACGAACTCTCGACCAATGTTGTAAAAATTACGACTTTTTAGTGAGAAATTCTTAGTAAAGATACTTCATTATTGGATTTATTCATACATATTGAAACTTGACACACACTGTATCCCTCATGATGACTAAATTCTCTAATCTCGACTCATTTCCATTTTGGATGTTTATTTTTTTATCCAAACACTTAAATTTAGTATATTATATAATATGTATCAATTGTTAATTTTTGAAGTTTATACTAAACCTCAACCGGTGGTCATTGTTTATATGTTGACTTAGAATCTCAATCTAAGGCACTCACACACACTATCGAGAATTTTTGGTCTTAACATGGTCGTTGAATGTGTAATTTTCAAAGATTTTATCGCTTATATATTAATAATTGATAAAGAGTGTCTCCAATACACACATATTTTAAGTGCATTTAAAATGTCTTATCATTTGAACAATATCAGTGTATTTCATTTGATTATTTGCATTAACTTATTATCTTATACAACATATATTAATTCGTTTTTCTCGAGTCTAGACGAACTGAAAACCAATTTTGAGAGTTGAGATTATTGGATAAAGATACTTGATTGCTAGATAAATATGTTTATCCCAATTGACGATTTTACTAAAAATTGCCAACCTTTATTTGGTAAATGCCTATGTTAGTAGTTGATGAAACGTTATGTTTATCGTAGATTCTAAACAAAGATTTTTCTAACCTTCACATCTATTATTTTTCAAGGAACCTTGTGTCTCATCCTAGGGTATGAAGTCAAAGTTCGTCAACAATCATACTTAAGTCATTTTGAAAATTTTGATTTATAATCGTCGAAGATAACTCCAAGTCTGAAAGAAAATTTCTTGGCATACGACTTAGAACCTCAATAGAGCTTGCTCAATCAACATGATATAGAGCAAATAGTATTAATGTGAACTTAGGTCACATTATCAAATTATTGCACATGCGATTCCTCTTCATTTGAGGAATTTAAGGTAGAACATGATCTGAATGAATAAGAATTTTTTTAAAATAAATAACTGTAACTACTGGATCAAGATTATACTCTGACATTTTGCTAAATAATACTTTTTTATTTTATAGATATCTATTGTACGAATAAGAGAATGTTTCATTGCAACAAAATATAAAGTAATATAGTTTATTTTTCAAAGGTAATTGAATGTCAAATGTTTATTTTCTCTCTTTTCATATATATTTTGGTTTATGTCAAAGGTAATTGAATGTCAAATGTTTATTTTCTCTCTTTTCATATATATTTTGGTTTAATTGATTAAAACATAATTGTTTATGTGTATGTTTGTTTATTTTTTCATCAAAATGTAACTTATCATTGAATTTTAGTAAAATGAGTAGAAAATTTATTTCATAAGGTTGAATCAGATATTTTTTATTTAAATAAATGTGATATATGTCACTCTCTTTTTTCTTATTTATATTTTGTTTATTAAAAAAAATATTATTTATGTGTGTTTGGTTAAGTTTATCAACATGTAACTTATTATTAAAAACAAAAAAGAATAAATGGATAAATGAAAAAGAATAATTGGATAAAAGAAATGGAAATATTAAAGAAGAGAGAGGTAGCTCCATAAATACATTAATAACTAATTTTTTGTTTGTAAAAAAGTTGTCCAACTTGGCAAATTGTGCATCCTCCAAGTGCTTATGTGGCAAGAATTTTTTTTTGAATTGCCATAATATATAGTATAGATATAGATAGATAGATAGATAGATAGATATAGATATAGATATAGATTTATGGAAAATAAAAAAGGAAAAGACTCAAGTTCCTTGTGTACTCTTTTGAAGTCAATTCCACCATCTCATTATTTTGGGTAACATAAGCATAGAAAGTTGTTAAAAAAGAGGGCAAATTCAATAAAGAGAGTTGCTGATAATTGAATCGAGCCAGATCAATGATTGGGCTAGTAAAACAACTAAATTATCACATTCACGATTCGATATATTTGAATAAACGGTTAGGGAGGAACCTGATCCCTCCGAAACTTAAATTTCCCCTTTGGCGATTGGTTTGTATCTTCCTTCCTTTACGAGGAATTCTTTTCAATAAACACATATCCACGATAAGTAGTTGCCCTGTCTGTTGTGATCCAGTAGAAGATATGACCCACTGCCTCTTTGATTGTAGGATTACTAAAGAATTGTTGCAGTTAGTAGAAATGGAACATCGAAGGTCAACCATGAGAATACTCCCGATAGATCTCGCATGGAAAGAACTATTTTTTTTACTCCCCATGCATATCACAAAGACAGTCGTAGCTGACATAGTTTTTCTGTTCTGGTGTATATGGAAGGGTCGATGCAAAGCCACCTATGCTTTTACATTATTCCGAAGCCCAGATGTATACCGTCAATTTACAGCTCGTGTAGAAGATTAATGGAGGATGGCGGAGGGACAGAATGCTCGGAAGGAGGAAGGTCGATCACACAGGTAATCAATGCCCCCAGAGAAGCAATCAGGATGCCACATGCCCCATCGGGGGCATCATAGTTCGTTTTGATGGTGCTATGAAGAGCAATCAAGGAAGTGCCTCAGGATTCGTTTGTTTTTTAGGTGATGGAAACATTCTTTTTAACTTCGATAAACTTTATGATGGTATTTCATATGTTTTTGTTTCGGAACTACTCGCTCTTAGAGATGCTATGACATGGTGTCTAATACAAAATTTTTCTGTTGTTGCATTTTGTGGCGATTTCCAATTGGTCATCCGGCATGTATCATCCAAGGAAGCTTCTCATTCGCTATGCGGTACATCTTGGAAGAGATTCGTCTTCTTATATCTTCTTTTGAGTCTGTGTCGTGTCATTTTGCTCATCGGAGTTTTAACAGAGTTGCCCATGTAATGGCAAAACAGGTGCTACCATTGACAATCTGGTTGCTTACGGACTACCGCGTGTGGTTACAGTCGGTGTTGTAGTTGTGTCTGTTTGGTTACCACCTTCTTGGCATATCTTGGACAAAAAAAATCATGGAAAGAAAAAATGGACAAACTCAAGTTCCTTGTGTACTCTTTTGAAGTCAATTCCACCATTTCATTATTTTGGGTAAGCATATAAAGTTGTTAAAGAAAGGGCAAATTCAATAAAGAGAGTTGCTGAAAATCGAATCCAACCAGATCAACAATTGGGCCAGTAGAACAACTAAATTAGTAAATTGACGATTCGGTTCATTTGAATGAACGGTTAGGGAGGGATCCAATGGTCTTTGACGATTTGACATAAAATCAGATGAACCACTTTGATTTGACTGGTACACTGGTTCACAATTTTAACCACACAAAATCAAGACAAATAATTAATGTAAACTAAGATAATCGAAACTCAATTAATGATTTTATTTATGCTTCATTTTCTAGCCTCCTTGTCAGCTGTGTGATCCGTACCGCATTTCCACCCTGACTACTATTATTACACATATTCTCAATTAGGTAGCAACTCATTAGTTTTGTGTGATCTGTACCGCATTTCCACCCTGACTACTATTATTACACATATTCTCAATTAGGTAGCAACTCATTAGTTTTTATATTTTAAAACGATGTAGTAGTAAAATGTTCATTACTTATCCCCAACTAGCTATTTTTTTTACAACTGGCCTGTATGTTATTAAAAAGCAAACTTCATGAGTTACAGAGCCATCTTGCAAAAGTTGAGGTACTAAAAAGATAGGAGGTCGAGAAAGCCAGGCTTCTATCACCTCCCATCGACACTTCGTTCTAACCATAACATGGGCACCTTCATTCCCCTTCCTTCCCCAAAACTGCCATTCAATTCCTCCTCTTCGTCTTGCCCAGTCACAGAATTCTTCACAGATGCCCTGAATTTCTAAATTCGTAGTGTCTGGTCTCTCCAGCTTCTGAATTAGAGATTGGTCGTCACTACTCTCAATCAACATCGGGTGGAAATGATTCGCCATCGTCAGCTTCAAACCCCACATCATCGCCTAAGCTTCCGCCATCTGTAGTGACCATGTCGTTTGGGTCCGGTGGTTACACGACTAGGATTTGAAGAGTCTTTTCAGTTTTGAGTTAGACCATGAACAAGGTTAGAAATCAGATATGCAATCAATTCATAAATTATTGTCTAGTACAATATACAGATTTGTTAAGCAGTATAGACACCGATTTTATTTTATATTTTTTACGATTATAATAACAAGTCATGGCTTTTTTATAATTTGTACTAGTGGGATAATTTATGTTTATTAATTATTAAGTTTTGTAAGAGGATACCCTACGCAAAATTTTTGGATCCACCTCTAACGGGAGCGGATGAGGTCAGTAACCCTTATGGTGAGTAACCATCAGTAACCTGTCCAGATCCGCATGACATCAGCATCCCCTCTCTCCTGGAAAGTCTTTTATCTTTTCTCTTTTAATCTTTAACAAATGATTTCTCTCTCTTTTTAAGTCGAAATTTAAATTTTTTTGCACAGATAAATCAGATTAAATGTGCTGTTTAAAAAGATATCCACTTTGATATATTTTTAGTACAAAAAAAATTGAATAATTTTTTACCAGTCATTACCATATGGTATGCTCATATTTAATACCATATGGTAAGAAAGCGTACCATGATGGTATGAACATACCAATATGGTAAGAAGGTTGAATACATGATAGTAGGAGTACACTAACTGTCATTTACGACTTTCATCATTGTTTACCACAAGTTACCACCCACATACCATAGTGGTAAAGTATGTTAATTTTTGGTCCAATATGTTTTTCACCCAGAAATTTGTAGATCCAATAGAATAAGTTATCATATGGTATGTAGTTGGTAAAAAAAAGTTTCTCGAAATATATTGAAAATTGATCTCATTTTGTAGAGCACAACGAACTCGTTCCATGTGTGCAAAAAAAAATTGAAATCCAAGTTAAAACGAAGAATATATGAGCCATTTATAAAAACTAGGGAAAATAAAATGTCTTTAATTGACAACCCTTAGATCTGGATTTTCTGGGCCCACTCAGATCTAAAGGTCCAGATTTAGTTACTCATAGTTCAGTAACCATTGGTTACTGAGCCTATCCTACGCCTCTCTAACGAAGTTGATGAAGAAGCTATCGAAGTTGGGAAGAAGAAGAAGGGCAGAATTTGATAAGTGTTGGAACAATTTCAGGTAGGCTACTTGGGAGGTTTGGTTCTCTCAATTGTCTTGATGAAAATTCAATATTAAGGGCTTGTATTGAACATGGAGTGTTTATCTACACACTGGTATTCTTGGTTGCTCAAGGAGAAGTCAAGAAGGTTATTTTCCAAGCTCACCAAAATCCTATGTCAAAATTGGAAAACTGCCAGAAAATGGCTAAAGCAGAAAACTGTTTTGTGAAGCCTACTTTGGAGCTCAATTCGAGCAGCATGGATCTGATTCGAGTCCAAAGGCTTACACAACATGAAACTAGGTATGTTTGTATACAAAGGGAAGGAATTGGATGAAGGATTGGAGTTCTGGAAGGCCTCAAACGAAAGGCGGGAAGTTAGTACGAAAGCTGCTTTTGGACTGTTTGTTGGCTGCTTACATGTGCTTCAAGAAAATGAATTTGAGTCCGAATTTTTTTAACCTTTTTAGAGTTTTTTTTTACCTTAATTGTTTCCTAGTTCTATTAGGTTTGTATTAGGTTTTTATTGTCTTTAAATACCTATGAAGTCACGTTGTAAAGTATAGACTTTGATTAATCGAATTGAGAACCGTTTGGTTTTGTGCAAGTTGCGACTTGTGTTGGGTTTGGTGGATTCCAAACTTGCTAAGCTTGTGTATCGATTGAATAGTCCCTTCAATCGTTGTTGAGAAACTACCTTTTAATCCAATCAAGCATTCCCCAGGTGTGGAATCGTCCTTTTGGTTCTGTTTTATCCAAGTTCGTATTAAGAACGCTTCGTTCTTGATTCGTGTTCAATCAATCCCCCGATTGAATTTTTAGCTGTGTTACTTTGATAATATACACCCACTAGGGGCGTATTAAGGACTAAGCACATTGAGGTACATGTTCATTACATACGTCAGTTAGTAATAGAAGGAGTTGTGGAGCTTGCCTACACTACGTCACAAGATCAAAATGAAGACCTGTTAACTAAGGCTGTTTCGTCTGCTCGTCATTGGTTTTTAACACACAAATTGATGTTGCGTAAGCATCATCAATTTGAGGGAGGGTGTTAGAAGTTATATAAGAAGTTAGAAGTACTAATGTGTAATTAATCCTCATTAGGGTTGAGAGGCGACCACTATATATATATAGTGAAGAAGGCTGCCGACCAATGTAACACTTTACACAAAAATAGTACAATCTCTGTCGTAGTGCCGTGGACTAGTCTCAACGTTCTTCGTTGGGAAAACCAGTAAACCTTGCGTCTTGTGTTCATTTACGTGCTTATTCTTGTGATTTGACAGGAACATGTAGTTTCGTTTGACTTTGGTACTGGGTTTCATTAAAAGTTGATACGGTTTTTGTTGGTATTTGGGTTTTTTTTATGTTGATTGTTTTGTCGTTGGTTTTGATTTCGTCGGTATTAGACGTCTCGTCGCAGATTGGTCGGTGATGATATTAAAATGGTAATTTGTAAATGTTGGTAAGGTATAGAAAAAGGTTTATACGTACTGGTAATAACGTGTAATAAGATTTTAATATAACATCGATAATATTATTGAAAACGTTGACAATTTGATTAATAATGCAATCTAAGAATGTTGATAATTCAAATAATTCAAATAATATATTTACAAATAGTCACGTGGTCGGTTAATAATCTATAATAAGATGGATCGATAGCGTGGTTCAATATAATTAATATTATATGTCTAATTTGATAATAATTGGGAGACATGAATAATTGTCAACAAAATATTAGGACTTGGCTACGGTGACTTGCAAGTCACCGTAACTTGCACTTTTCGGTCAACCTCAGTTAGGATTAGGTCGACCTAATATGTTTTTTCAGGTTTGTGAGGCTCAACGACGCAGTCAACCTTTTACAGCAAATGGTTGACCTCTTTAGGAAGCGAACAATATAGAAAGTTGACCATAATATCGCAAAGGATGACCATTTTGCTAATAAAAGGTCGACCTCATAAGTGAAAAGGTCAACCTCAGTGTAGTTAACTCATCAATATCAAAGTCAGGATTATTTAGGAAAATAGTAGAAAAGGTCGACCTGACAAGTAAGAGGTCCACCACGTGCACACTGTATCTGTATTGAATAAGGATTCCAACACCAGAAAGGTAACCCTAACTTGTCTACCACTTAATTCGACCCAATCTCGTCCTAAATATCTATAAATACGAATATATGTCACCTTCACTGCCACCAAAACTTTGAGTTTGGTTTTTTGTACGGTTGGAGCTTTTGTGAAGAAGTTCCTTTGTGTTGCTGTTGTACGTGTTTGAACTTTAAAGAGGTCGACCACGTGAAAGGTGAGGTCGACCTATTTTAGATATCGTCGTCATCTTGTCTAATGGGTAATTTGCACCGTTTAATTTGATGGTAAGTCTTAAAGACGATTTGGTTTGAATCAACATTGATTGTGGATTGATATTGTGTGGTTTTTTATTTTAGGTATGTGAAAACATTTATGAGGTGTGCTTTATTGTATTTTTTGTTAGTGTGTTAAGTTGTTCTGTTATGAAGTTATGAGTCCTTGCTATCATGATTTAGGACTGATTTTGTTGGTTTCAAACGTAGTTTGTACGAGAAAACGAACCATCCACATTGACATACATAAGCAAAAAAGTCGAAGGTCATAGGCTTATTTTCCTGTATGCGGTCGACCTTTTACTGGAATATGTCGACCGCGACACCAACACTTTTGACCTTCGTTTCACATCAAAGGAGGATGGATAAATGGATAGAACTTTACTATTCTATCTGGTCGAACTCTTTAGGTAAATGGTCGACCATTTCGGTAATGTCTGCCATCAAGTGGTCGACCTCCTTAAGTTTACGGTCCACCATTTAGCTTTTGATTACAATGGAAAGGGCGACCGAATGTTCGTTGTGATTGACCATTAATGTAGCAACTTAACTTAAAACGGTCTACCTCTATTTTTTTAATGGTCGACCGTGATTTTTCATCACAGTGACCACCTTAGTATATTTGGTCGACCGCTGGTATGAATAGGTCGACCGAACAGTGCAAGTTATGGTGACTTGCAAGGCACCATAGGGGTACCCAAATATTTGATAATTGAATGTTTTGTCATTGTTAATATTATATGTGGACGACCTTCCCCATGGCCTTGACAATCAATGTTGCCTCTCCCTAGTAACAAACCAGTTGGTATGAAATTTTGCTCCCGACAACTAAGTCCGGAAACAAGACATGCTTCGCAGCCAGGTAACAAGATACCAAGCCAACAAGATATATAGGCTTGGTATCGAGATGAAAAATTTGCACCCAGACGAACTTCACAATGCTAAGCTTCGGGCCATGTCTTAGAGGTGGAAGAGGCTAATTTCTCATCCTGTTAAGGTTGGTAATAAGGTGTTGCAGTCAAGATGGTTCATGTGTTAAAAATATTCGTAAGAGGTGTTAAGCATATTCGCACTGTTAGAAGTCAGTGTAGCATTTTGTAATTTACCTGTCATTAGCGTAATTACATTAACAGTCTTGGTAGGGTTATGCGGCTTTGTATATAAGTTGAGAGTTGCATACGATGTAAGGTTAAGAATTCTAAGTGCTAATACGATTGACTCTGAGAGGTTGGCCCTCTTCGTGGACTAGTCTCAACGATACTCGTTGAGAATATCAAGTAAATCTGATGTGTTATTCTTTCTTTCAGCTCATTGTTTATCACACACGTGATACTTCTAGTATATTCTAAGAGTATGACAACTGTGTTGTATGAATATATAATGAGTCGCTTCCTTCTGATTGTTGAATTAAAATTTTCCGATCTGGCTCTTGTCAGGACGTGATGATGGAAAGCATAGTCCAAGCGGACAGGGTGGAACTGTAGTGTTTATTGGGATGTTTTGTTTGTTTTTGATGACCCACTTTGATCTTGACAAATGTTACTATGTTAGCAGTTTTATCATAATTGTTTCCCTCGTTAGTTTCTAGTTATAAAACACTGCAAAGGAAAGCTGAAAGTAAAGTTTTTAAAACAAAAGAAATGAGTTGAGCAGAATAAAAAGTAGCCCAGAATAATTATTAATACTTGAACTTACAAAGACATTCAACACCAACATAAATAAATAAAAAAACGATATATTGACCCAATTAGACAACAAATACGTACGATATGTGCACGTAGACAACATACACAACACAAGCATCAAACAAAGACCATCACCAGCAGATTTAATTTGCCCATCGCCAGCCAGACAACACCAAGATGTGCAGACATTAATTAATAAGCACCTTAACTCCGGTAAAGTAAAAGCAAGCGAATGTGATCCTCAGAGAACATTCCTGATAAGCCAGCATCGTCACCCTACAATCAGGTGTAGTATGTAGTTTTAGTCACCCCACCTCACGTCATCCTCTTCCTCCTTTTTTAGCCTTGATATTTCTGCATCCTTCTCTCGTCTCAGCTTTTTTATCTCCTCTTCCATCTCATGTTTCATTTTACGTAGTTGCTCATCCTTCTCCTTCCTCAACTTTTCTGGGATTATTTTGTTGTTCTTCAATTCCCCAATTCTTTTTCTTAGCACTTTCTCCAATTCATCCTTCTCCTTTCTTTGTTGCTCTAGTTCCTCGTCCTTGTTTTTCAACTTTTCAGATGTTTCTTCCTCTTTTTCGAGAATCATTTTGTGTAATTCTTCTTCCTTCTCTTTTATCAGATTCGCCTGCTCCTGCTCCATTTTCTGCATCAACTTATGTAATTCTTCATCCTTTCCCTTCCTAAGTAGTTGCAATTCAGCATCTTTCTTCTTCACTAGCTTTCGCAGCTCCTCGTCCTTCACCTTTCTCAGTTTTCTTAATTCCTCATTGTTCTCATTCAGTTTTTGCAAGGCTTCCTTCTCCTTCTTTTGCAGATTTTCCACTTCATCGTCCTTTTCCCTTCTCAGCTTTTCGATCTCCTCATCCATCTCCTCTTTTAGCTTTCGAAACTCCTCATCCTTGTCTTTTATTAGTTTTTGCAACATCGCTCCATCGTTATTCCCCCTTTTAAGCACATGTAATTCGTTATCTTTTTTCTTTAGCAACTTTCGGAATTCTTCATCCTTTTCCTTCATTGCCTTCTTTAACTCCTCGTCTCTCTTCTCACTTGCTTCCTCCATCTCCTCTTTTAACTTTTGTAGCTCTCCCATGTGCTCATCCCTCAAATTCTGTATCTCCTCTTCCATCTCCTCCCTCACCTTTCTCAATTCCTCATTTTTTGCTCTCATAGCCTTTTTTAACTCCTCACACTCCTTACTGATCACTCCTACTCCCATTGTCTGTTTTAGTGGTTTCTCTTGTTTTGGCAGAATATACCTCATTTCCAGTCGATGCCACACGCTGCTCCTTGCAGTGTCAATGCCATGATGAGGCCAGTTGAATAGATCATTCAATCGGAAGTATTGGATCCCAAAATTGTTATGCTCGCCGAGTTCCCTCACGTCTTGAAAACAATACCCTTCCGGACTCACCATCAAGCGTAGCCGGGTGAGGTATCCTGCTAACTCGAGTAACGCCTCCCGTCCCTCGATCTTCCCGTGACCATCGAAGAAGGACAGCCCGTCGTAGGACTCCTCATCGTCGTGGGCAGTGATATTGGCGATTTGCGTCCAATGGCTCTTTCGAATGGAAGAAGGGTGAATAGTAGGGCTGGTTAACTCGTAGACATGTAGGGTAGTTTTGTCAGAGGAAGCAACAAAGTGCTTGTCTGACTTGAAATCAAATAGGACCATGTTATGAAAGATTTGGGATTGAAAGAGAGGATAGATGAGAGGGTGGTACTTTGAGTTTGTGTGGTATACACACCTTATTTATATATCATCGCATTCATCAACTTGATCAATGTTTAATTATATATATTTCGTAGCAATTTCCTGGCAATTTGGCACCCACTTGAAGGATGGATTTGAATTATAGGGAAACAAAATTCTAATGCCTATTCTGCTGACACAGTTAAATTATTATTAATAGGCAACTTGTTAGTCTTCATTTGTTGCGAAGCCTTTGTTTTTCTGGCCACAATAGTAAACTAAAAGTAACCAAATTTCATATAGCACAACTGGAAAAATTCTTGAAAGATTCTCGAGTGGGTAGTGTGTCCCGCGTTCGACCCATCTTGAGAGTCGAGACTAGTTGTGATGTTCCCGGAGGCATCAAAAGAGGATATTAGTGGAGGGCCTAAAGGATTCAAACAGGTGAACCTCCAGGTTTGGTCTCGCTTCGCCATCGCTCAAATGGTGTGTGGGTGGGGATATTCCTGGGTTATATAAAAATATTAAACCTGCTCCGCACCAAGCGCGGGTTGGGACCGGTAATATCCATTTGGTTACGGGACGGAGCAAGTCGACACACTCTTACATATTATTTAAAATATATACACGCAAAATTTTACTTTATACGATAAAATGAATTAGAAATAGTTTACGAATGAAAAATAATGATAATCGAATGGGTAATGGAGTCTGACTAGTTGAAAGATCAAGTTTAGCAAGTTGCAACAAGTCGTGCTAGACTCCCACTACGCAATCAGGGTTTAGGATAGGGTCAGTAACCATTGGTACTGACCTATGAGTAATTAAATCTGGACCTTTAGATTTAAGTGGGCCCAGAAAATTCAGATCTAAGGGTTGTCAATTATAGACATTTTATTTTTCCTAGTTTTCTTAATTGACTCTTATCTTCTTCATTCTAACTCGGATTTCAATTTTTATTTTTTTTTTGCACAGATAGAACGAGTTCGTTGTGCTCTACAAATTGAGATCAATTTTTAATATATTTCGAGAAACTTTTTTTTCATACCACCCGTTACCAACTACATACCATATGGTAACTTCTTCATTTTTAAGTCATTTTTGAAAACGTTTGCTCAGAAGGAACGAGTTCATCATGATCTATTGGATCTACAAATTTTTGGTTGAAAAAAATACTGGACCAAAAATTACCATACTTTACCACTATGGTATGTGGGTGGTAACTTATAGTAAACAATGATGAAAGTCGTAAATGACAGGTAGTATACTCCTACTATCATGTATTCAACCTTCTTACCATATAACACCATCATGGTATGCTTTCTTACCATACGATATTAAATAGGAGCATATAATATGGTAATGACTGGTAAAAAATGACTCAATATTTTTTGTACTAAAAATATATCAAAGTGGATATCATTTTAAAGAGCACATTTAATCTGATTTATCTGTGCAAAAGAAATTTAAATTTTGACATAAAACGAGAGAGAAATCATCCGTTAAAGATTAAATAGGAAAAGATAAAAAGCTTTACAGGAGAGAGAGGGATGCTGATGTCATGCTCTCTTCCTCTTACGTACCAAGGTCGCGCGAAAATCACGGTCTCAAATCACAGGCGTGTTCTCGAAGTCGGGCAAAAATGCACCGCTTCATTAACGATCATCACTATCCTCGCTAGATTATCACAGTCGGGAGAACGTGATAACTTTTAGGCTCGCGATGCGTGCAAACTGCTCTGGATCCCATCGAGAATCACGATTTGGCCCCTATCTTCACAGTAGCTGACCGTGATAATGCTGCTTTCACCGTGCTCTTCCCCTTTTTGCCCTTTTTGACTCGCTTTTGCCCTATTTTGTTTGACTTTTGCTTCCAAGGTCAATCTCACCTGCTAGAACTTGAATGAAAACATGCACAACCTAGCGTAAAAGCGAACCTCAGGTGATTTAAACGCTTCAAACATATCAAGAAAATGGGGTAAAAACATGTGTAATTAGACCGGAATTAGTATGTCGTACCTTATATTTTACCCAATGTACAAAAGAAGTCAATTATAATGATAATTACAATCATACTCATCAATAAGTTGTTTGTTCGTTTTAGTCCCCATCAATTTCTACAATCCATCAATTTTGAGATGTGAAACTGCTTTTAGTCTCCATCCCTCTTAGGGCTGCAAATGAGTCGAGCTGCTCGCGAGCGGTTCGGCGTTCGACTCGAGAAGAGCTCGTTCGAAACTCGGCTCGTTAATAAACGAGCCAAACATGAGCTAAGCTTTGTTAAGCTCGTGTAGCTCGCGAGCTAGCTCGACTCGGTGGCTTGTTGAGCTAAACTCGTGAGCTGGCTCGTTTAGAGCTCATGATATGTCTCAACATATGGCTAGAGAGCCAACTCGATTACCGACTTATGGACGAATCAATCTCTATCTTATGATTTTAATTCATTTGGTTGTTAAATTATATATCTCACCATATATAAAGCAAATATATATTATTTTCTACTTTAAAAAGAAATTATGTATCATAAATTGCTTCGATACTATGAAATAACATGATTTAGAGTAGTTAAAATTTATTAGCTAAATGATATATGATACCAACAAAGTATCATATGAGATTAGCTAACAAAATAAATCATCTGTATCATAATATACAAAATGAAGTACCAAATAAAAATCAAGATTTTTATTAACGAGCCGAGCTCAAACTGGGATAAAACTCGACTTGACTCACTCATTTGCCGCCCTAAATTCCCTCTATCTCTTTATTAGACTGATCGGTATTGTTTGCCTTTCTCCTCCGTCCTTCTCGATCTTCCATTCTCTTAATTATCGGAATTTTTTTGCTTTCTCCCAACTCAGGTCGCATCACATTCACATCTCACAGAAAAATGACTAAAAACTAGCTGGTAACGCCTGCCACTTACGTTTATGCTGTAAACTTATTATTATAATTTACAAGCCTTAAAACTACCAAAGCTTAGCAAGTGTACTACTTACATCGTCTTCTTCCCAGTTCACAAAACAAGTTATGTAACCTAGAGCAAAAAAAAATCTTCATTTTTATTAAATTAAGAGACAAAGTTTCATTTGTGTACTATAGAGCATGATATTGAAGGAAATTGATGTCGTGATCGAGCTTCACACAGATTGATGATGGGAGGGAGCCGACGAGGTAGTTCCCTTTGAGAAAGAATTTGTAGATTATTTTTCGTTGAAGAGATGCCATGGGATCGATCGAGCTATAAAATGTCGTTGATGAGATTTGTTTTAGTCCAAATACAACTCCCCATTTAGCGAAATTGTAAAATTGTATACTCGACTCCAGTATGATGTTAATTGAGCATGAAGATCAAGCCCACTTTATCCACTCCAGTATGCTTGCCGGACTTGAAATCAAAGCGTGTCATTTAGATTAAGATTTAGATTGAAAGGTTTAAGTATAACGTGCGGTAGGTAGAGTGTGAAATGGAGATATATTGCAAGTCAATTTGGAGTTGGCTAGCAGGCTTAATGTGTAAGGTGCTAACTAATTTCTACTTTTCTAGGCAATTGATGATCACCTTCCTTATTGCTCAAGTCAGATTACTCTAATGCAAAAATAAAATAAGATTTTAGCTTAAAGTAAACAACCGGGTAATTGTGTTGTCGCTATCTCGGGATATGTCAATGATGGAGCTATTAATCATTATTTGTTGATTATTTTCAAAATGTATCAGCGTCAAAAGCCAAAAGGGTTAGGAAGAGGCCTGCTAGGCCATCAAAACCCTGTTAAATAAAGTCAATGTTCTGATGAAATATTCGAGCTTCAATAGGCCTGCAGAACACGAGACTATAATAGAAGTAGCAAGTTGATATAAAGTAAACATTGTAGCTATCTTGGAAACCGAGTTAGTAGTAACAAGTTGTCCATACACTAACACTAATAATAATAACCACAAGATTCAAAACAAATCACCAAAGGTGTTACTATGATCATGCAAATGTAGAAGTTGCTATACTTGAAGTCCTCAAAATTTTAAAAAATTTAAGGGTCGTTTGGAAGGATCAATTTATAAATGAGTCAATTTGATCAATTGCCCCGTTTTATAAACGAGGCAATTAAAACGAGTGAATTCGAATTACCTACCCCCACCCCAGGTAATTGAAATTGACTCAAAACGGATCAATTCAAAATACCCCAAGTAGATTGATCCATCCAATTTTTTTGCTGGCAAACGAGGCAATTTGGTACAATTGTCTCAAAACGAGACAATTGTGTCAAATTGATCCATTACAATTCTTCATCCAAACGACCCCAACCATATAACTATGCTACAAGCACTCAAAATCACACCAATTATTAACACACACAAGCACATATTATATAGATTCCCCCCCCCCCCCCCCCCTACCACCCACCCACCCACACACACTTAAGCTTGATATTGCCATCAATAGCGTAAAATAAGGAGGTAGAACGATGTTACCGGATAAGCTGTGAATGTTTGTGGTCGGGAACGGAGGGTGGGAAGGATCCAGAAGAGCAAGGGGACGACAAAACACCACCAAAAGCTTCTCCAATGGTTGTCTTATTGAAAGGAAATGAGATGCAAACCGATGATAGTTGGTTGCCTCCCACCAAACGCTTCTTTAACGTCGTGAGTCGGGCGGTTGCCTCCTCAAGTTTCTGTCCACCCTAGAACCTCCTTGAAGTTGAGGTTCTTGTCGGTGAGATGAAGTCTCAAGTCCCGAGCATTGGATGAGTGCATGATTTAGGGCTCGTGAACTTGAGTGGTTTTGAGGCTCCACCCACGATACCTCTTCTTCTTCTCTCTTCTCTTTGCCCCACACCATGTAAGATATAATTGATTGTCTACCATCGCATCCACCAAGAGGGATCGCCGATGGTTTGGCCTTTCTTGGTCCTTCTCCAAAAGCGCATCGAGGTCGGGTAGAAAGCTTTCATAGCTCTTATAACTCATGGATGTTTCAAGAAATGAGGGGTGAAATATGTATAATTAGCCACGAATCACTAATGCATATATAAAAGGCGCTACTAATGTAAACATGCCTAAATAGTGTCCAGACCCACTAAACAATCAACCATCACCGTCTCTTCAAATCTTGCCACCAGACTCGACAATCAGTAACATCCTCCACCTTTATTGTTATGCTATAGCGATTATTAGAGCGGTAAATAGGGAAAGGTTAAATATACTTGCTTGGAGAGCTGACTGGTGGGTTATTAAGCTTCATTGACAATAATGTGTGATCTCTTAACCATTAGTTCATTTGTTTGGTCTTCTAGGTTGACTTTTAAGTTGATTAAAGATACATAGCTATACTTTTTGTTGTTATTTTAATGATACTCCTTTTCAGTATCATCATTTTGCTGATTTGAAATGTTTTTGTGGTTAGTTTTCAGTAAACAAAGATTATTCCAATTAGTGTAAAATAGGGAATAGCTTCAATCATACCACTTTTACATAGATTTTATATCTA